CTCTCTCTCTCCTCAACAGGCAAGCATGCACCCTGCACTTAGTCCAAATAGTTGTTTACAAGTGACAAAAGTCGCAAAGAAGAAAGCGATGTGGATGAAGTGGGACAAAGGGAAAATATGGATGAGAATTTTGTGGTTTTGAGGGGTGGTGGTAGATGGGGCCGATGAAGGAGGAACGGGGCGGTAATAGAGGGAGATATAGATTGACACGGAGTGGGGGGGGGGGGTGTGCAAAGAGAGGGGAGAGTGAAGGAGAGACAGAAGGAGGGGAAAGGAGGGAGGGATGGGGAAAGAGTGAGTGACAGCGAAATATTGTGAAAGTGGGGCGCCGCAAGGGGAGGGGCGGAGGAGTGGGGATTAGAGGAAGAAAGCGGAAAAAACGCCCCCCCTCTCTCTCTCTCTCTCTCTCTCTCTCTCTCTCTCTCTCTCTCTCTCTCTCTCTCTCTCTCTCTCTCTCTCTCTCTGTGTGTGTGTGTGTGTGAGTGACCGCTATAAGAACAGCCTGCCGCAGAGTTAAGCCAGCCAACCTCCCACAGTGGTGGCGATGTCAGCAGCTCCGTGTCTCTCTGTCATTTATGCACTTCCCTGTCTGTGGGAAGGAGCAGAGAAAAAACAGTCCAGCTTTACTTGACAGACGCTACCAGGTACAGACTTATATCAACTAGGCCGCTTGCTCGCGAGTCTGAGAGAGTGTTTGATAAAGGCTTAAAAATTCTTCTTTTTTTTCGCAATCAGTTATCGCTGGAAATAATCTATTACTTGTTGACGCCAGTACTGACTGCGGTGAGGAAATGTTAAAGTTTCGTGGCTTGATGATGGGTGTGCGAGGCGATGTCCCACCTCAGCCACAGGATGGACAATCCATTCACAAATACAAGAAACTGTACATTCTGACATGGATTTGTTTCATTGTTACATCGCTTCTCGTTTCGTCTGCTGCCATTGTCGATATTGTTCAAACGGTGAGCTCTATAAACCAGGACCAGATGTCCATCAACATTAGGGGTGAGCTGTCTGCAGTGCAGGAAAAGTTCGACAACCTGGAGAAGAAAGTGTCTGAGGTGGAAGATGACGCCACGACACCAAGTAAGCTTAAGCTCTGCTCCCACGGCAGCGGCTGTGAGCAGCTGACCAGTAGGCCTGAAGCAATGACCCACTGTTACAAAGTGTCCGATGAAAAAACTACGTGGGCAGACGCGAGGAAGAAATGTGAGTCTCTCGGTGGCTTTCTGGCCGAGTTCCACAACCATTTCACCCTGGAATACGTGAAACGGGTTGTTACTTCTGATACGTCACGGCTCTGGCTCGGTGCCACTGACCAGGGCAAAGAGGGCATCTGGACGTGGGTCACGTCCAACAGACACCTGTCCGTGGAAGACTGGGACATAAACCAGCCGAACAACCTCATGTACATTGAGCACTGCCTGGAGATGGATAAAAGACGTCGGAAATCATGGAACGACATACGGTGTAATAGTAAGCTGCGATATCTCTGTCAGAGAGACGGGGACAACTGTCAAGGCTGGCTGGAACAAGAGTAAAAGGAAACGTGTACCCAAAACCTCCCCTTAAAAAAAAAGAATTGGAGATGACTTAATCTAGCCCGCTGGTTAGGGGTCCTCGTGGGGGTCACAGTAGGACTGGCGCTAATAAATCTTACTGGAACAGGAAACAGCTGGCTGAGACCGTGGAAGTGCGCAAAGACATGGAGGGTTGTACTTTACTTTTACTACAACATCTTGCTGTGAGGCTAATGTTTAGGAAGATTTTTGTCGTACATCTTGATAAAGGAGATGATGGTGATGATGATGATGATGATGATGATGATGATGATGATGATGATGATGATGATGACGATGACGATGATGATGTGAATACTCCGAATGAAGAACAACAAGCACAACGTTAAATTGAAACAGACTGGAGGAACGAAAGGGGACGATGAAGGGGAGGAGGAAGAAGAGAGGAGGAGAGAAGAAGGAAGAAAAATTATTGGAAGAGCTGAAGAATGTGTATTTGAAGTCTACAAATTTGACTCCTTTCATTAATGCACGTGTGTGTGAGTGTTTATGTGTGTGTGTGTGTGTGCGTGTGTGTGTGTATGTGTGTGTGTGTGTTTGTGTGTTTGTGTGTGTGTGTGTTTGTGTGTGTGTGTGTGT